GCGGCGCCCCAAAGCCTTGCGCTCCGGAAGTGAAGCGGCCAGACCACCGGCTAACGTAAGCGCAGTGGCCAGCCTGCTAACCGCTCTCGGCGCCTGGGTAAGTATGGGTCAGGTAAGCGGCCGAGGACCCAAGGCCATTCTCTCGCACCTATGGCCCTGGCGCCTCTCTTTTGTCGCATTGCGGAGGTGGGCCTAGGGCGAGGGCGCATCAAGGATGCGGCTCCCACCCCCTTACCCGAGGTGTGAACTGATGGATGGGGAAGGGGGTCAGCCTGGCAAGTTCTGGGAGGAGAAAGGGTGCAGTCAAGTAGCAGGAACAGGAACGTGCCTGCTGACCCCAGGACACGAAAGCTAAGTACCTCTGTGCCTAGGCGGGCTACAGAAAGCAAAGGGAAATAAGAAGGCTCTCCGTTTTGTGCATCCATAGTGTTGGGGGCGGGGAGAGTACAAAATGGAGGGGAGAACTGCAGAGGGGCTTAGCAAATGGAAAGGGAAATATGAGAGAGATGGTGTGTAGCGAAAAGTGCGGTTTGCGAATCCTTGCCTTGTGCCACAGTTTACGGAATAAAGAAACAGAACCTCTGTATTAGCCAAGGTACCATAATATATTAAGTTATGGTACCAGGTACCATAATATACTCCACTGCCCCAAGAAAGGACCAAGAGAGTGTCATGATTTGGTATCTTCCGACTACTATCAGCATTAAAAGTGGGGGTGGGGCTAATCAGAATGATACACATTCCCTAAATCGCCAGAATTTCTGGCTCCCAGGGTGCACCAACTAGAGCCCATATCTTTGCCCCAGTTGCGCACTGCGCCAGAGCCACCAGGTTTCCCAGGTTGCCAGGTGCCGCTTGCGTGGCTCATTACCTGTGAGGAGGCCCGTGTGTCACGTGGGCAGTAGATAGTAGGTGCTCGTTGGGAGGGAGTGCGGTGAATTCTGTGGGGCCAAACTGGAGGAAAATTGGGGGACTCGATGTATATGTGCAGATTTGCAGCCACGGCCGCAAGGTTGGTGGATATCACTGGGCATTTTCCCTCTGTGGGGGTCTTCCTTCTTCCTTCTTCTGTCCATCTCTACGCCATTTCAGCCAGAGGCCCTGCCACTGGTCCTTTCCAGCCCCACCTCTTCACCTCGCTCCACTGTGGCAAAAGCCTGCAGAAACTAGACCATCCTTTGGTGGCTCTGGAGGAAGGTGTGCGCATGCTCAGTAACCTGGGTGGGTTTGCGCAGGGCAACGCGACGAAGAATTCAGCCACATTGTCCACCTGTCCGCCCCTCTCAACTGTAAGGGATCGTTTGACGTATGGAGTTAAATTTGGAGGGCATGCAGCCACCCTTTGAAGATTAGGCATCTCCGAAAGGGGAAGTCAGGAAGACAGAGAATATTCTCATCTCCTCCCAGGACTTAGCTGCAGATGTGCTTCGCGTTTGTTAAAGCGAGTTTGTGTAATTTCCGAGGCACGGCGGCCCAGTGGGGTGACCGCTTTCCAAGTCAGGAAACAGATTTCGAGAGATTGAGGTACCGTACCCAAGATCAGGATCTGATTAAACTACCCCAACAATTTCAGTGGGGGGTCTTCACTTGGAAGCCTGGTTTCTTTTCCAGATTGTCCTGTGGGCCCAATTTATGTGAGAAGAATATCAAGTTCTTACATATTTTGCCAGGCACATTGGCATTCATCCGTAATCCCAGCGACTAGGGCGGTGAGGCAGGAGAATGACAAATTCAAGGCCAGCTTCCCCAATTTAGCAAGACCCTGTCTCAAAATAAAACAGGACAGGGGAGATAAAACACCCCTGGATTCAATCGGCAATCCAGTTGAATCTCTTTACTGAGGTTCACATTCTAGTTGGGAATTCTATCCTGCGAAAGGAGTCCTCCAGGGGTAACTCGAATTTTGGCATGACAGCTTTTCCACAGGCCTTTATTTTAGTCATATGTTTTTTTTGTTTGTTTCTTTGTTTCTTTGTCGCTATGACCAAAAGACCTGACAAGAACAACATAGAGGAGGGAAAGTTTATTTGGGGCTCATGGTTTCAGAGGCCTCTGTCCATAAATGACCGACTCTGTAGCCCTGGGCCCAAGGTGAAGCAGAACATATGGTGGAAGAGCAGAGCCATCAGGGAGCACCGGAAGAGAGAGAGAGCGTGCTCTGCTCACCAGGGACAAATGTAAACCCCCAAGTACCCTCCCCATGACCCACATCTTCCAGCCAGTTAATACACCAGCGGATAAATATACTGGTTAGGTTGAGACTCTCATAACTCAATCTTTTCACCTCTGAACATTCTTGTATGGTCGCACACATGAGGTTTGGAGTGGGGGTGGGGTACCATATATCTAAACCTTAACAGCCTGGGAGATGTTTCTTCCTGGGCCTTCAGTGTCTTTTTACATACCAGGTGTCCTCTAGATACTCCAATGGGGAGGAAAGTCATCCTGGATTTTAGAAAGGAAATTCAGGCCTGGAGCTATCAGCAGTCTCAGGTCCCCGGGGCTTCCAGGCATAGGTATGGGGCAACATTTTGTTCTTCTAGCTCTCTGGCACTATGGTGTGACCTTCAGCAACTCCCAGAAGGATTTTGGAGCCACTGTTTCTAGAACAGCTGCTACCATAGCAATAAACTGGCATCTGTGATATATGAACTCAGTTTGTATTGGTGGAGATTTTCAGGCCAAGGAGAAAATAGTTGTAGCTCCCAACACACACTCCACGTCTTCAGTGTGGGATATTCAGCAACAGCATTTGGGTCAACAATGGAATGCATATGCTGCAGTGTCCCCATAAGATTCCATTGCCTAGTGACTTAGTAGTTATCATAGTTTGTCTAAGCACAGGATGTGGCCTGTTATCCAGTCACAGCTGGGTACAGTGGCACAGGTCTGTAATCCTAGCAACTCAGAGACTAGGGTGGGAGGATTTCAAGTTCAAGGCCAGTCTCAGAAATTTAAGGAGACACTATCTCAAAATAAAAGGGTTGGTGATATAGCACCGTGGTAAAGCACCCCTGGGTTCAATCCCCATTATGAAAAAAGAGAAAAAAAGTTACCCTCATGATTATTGTAGGGACTCCTCCCCGTTATGCTCTCTGCTGTCCAGACAGGCAAGCACTCTATCAAATGAGTGTTGGTGATGCAAAGTTTTGTGTTAGTGGTTTACCATCCATAGCCAAAGAAACAACCCCTTTGTGCCTTTGTGAGCCTCACTAGACCTAAAAGTGTATTATTCCATAATTCCAGATTTAACTTATTTGGTCTTGAGATTTTAGTGACTTATTACTTATTTTTAAATGTTTGAGTAACTCTCAGTTGAATTTTTCTTTTCTTTTTTTTTTTTTTTTTTTTTTTTTTTTTGGTACTAGGGATTGAACCCAGGGGTATGTTATTACTGAGCTATGTCCAAAGTTTTTTAAATTTATTTTGAGACAGAGTCTCCCTAAATTGGTTAGGTCCTGGCTAAATTGCTGACACTTGCCTTGAACTTTTGATCCTCCAGACTCAGCCTCCTGAGTGTCCGGGAATATGGGCATGCACCACCATGCCCAACTAAGACTTTTTAAATCAAAGACATGAAGCATTTCCTTCTTTTTTTAGGCAATTTAAGTTAAATTTTGAAGACTGGTCATATTTTTTCATCCTTCTCTACTGGATTGTCATGTTTTTAAATAAGTTGCATTAATCTTCATCACTGGATAGTGGCATAAAAATATGTCATTCTTATTTATGTGTAACAGGACAGTTTGGCCTGGCTGAAGCTCAGACTCACACATCATTGTGTGAAAGAGGGTAACATCGTCCTTTGCTGGAAGCTGAATATATAAACTCCTTGACTCTAACAGAACATTCTGGAACTCATAGAAAGGTATCTAGCTGCATCTTATTTCATCTTTCAAATAGCAAACATTTGTTTTTTGTTTTGTTTTGTGATGCTGGGCATTGAACCCAGGGCCTCATGCATGCTAAGTATATTAGTCAGCTTTTTCACTGCTATGACCAAAAGACCTCACAAGAGCAGATTTACAAGAGAAAAGTTTATTCAGTACTATGAATCCTCAGTTCATAGATGGATGGCTGCATTGCTGTAGACCCAAGGTGAGGCAAAACATCCTGCAGAAGAGAGTGGTGAATGAATGAAAGCAGTTCAGGACATGGCCCCAGGAAACAGAGAGATCTGCACTCACCAAGGACAAAATATAAACCCCAAAGGCACACCCCCCAGTGACCTGTCTCCTCCAGACACACCCTACCTGCCTAAGTTACTGCCCAGTTAATTCCTTCAAGTGAATTACTGCACTGAGGTTAAGGCTATCATAACCCGATCATTTCACCTCAACTTCCTTGCATTGTGTCACATGTGAGCGTTGGGTGGACACCTCCTATCTAAACCATAACACAAGGCAAACGTTCTACCATTGAGCTACATCCCCAGCTCATGCAAAGGTCTTGAATCCTGCCTGCAGGTGGGACCTAGACATTAATCAACATGTCTACTAATCATTTGAGGCAGGGAGACTAGATTGCAGTAAGTTTCCCTAGAGGGGGAAAGTCACAGTAAGCAAAGAAGGGGTGTAACAGGACCGCCCTATCAGAATGGGGGGGGACAAAAGTGCAGTGGGAGGCGAAGACTCCAGTCTACCCCCAGTTCCATCCCAAACTAGAGTTCGAATGCTTCCTGGGCTGGGGTTAGAGAGGACCATTGCTTCACCAGGATTCTAAGCCACCCTCTGTAATGCGTCTCTCCAGGAGTCCTGGGTGCTGGAGTAGAAGACATTGTCCCACCAACTGGAGAGAGGAGAAGTGTCAGAGACCAGGCGACAGTGGGTAAAGCAGCTCTTCCAGGTGCCTCCACGGTCAGGGAAGGGTCAGTGCCACGTGGCTGCCAAAGTCCAGGAGGGAAACAGCAGCAAGTGGACTGCAGAGCCGGAGGCAGTGGCACTACCTTGGGGTAGGTCTGCAGACAAACGGGGAAGTGCAAGTAACTGGTCCTGCTTGAAGATTTTGAGACTGCTCGTGGAGAGACCCTCTGGTGGGTTGTGAGTTTGGAGTATTATCACCCCTAAGGCTGTGCCTATCCACAGCACTGGTTGCTACCTGTAGAGAGTGAGTGGTTCAGTATCTGGGACAATGGCAGTGGCACTGTTAGAGGACTGGTGCAGGATCATGAGTGTGGATGACCAGAAGTCGCTGATGGTGATGGGCATACCAGTGGACTGCGATGAGGCTGAGATCCAGGCCATCCTGCAGGAGACTTTAAAGTCCCTGGGCAGGTATAGATTGCTTGGCAAGATCTTCCGGAAGCAGGAGAATGCCAATGCCGTCTTATTGGAGCTTCTGGAGGATATTGATGTCTCCGTGATCCCTAGTGAGGTTCAGGGAAAGGGGGGTGTCTGGAAAGTGATCTTTAAGACCCCTAACCAGGACACTGAATTTCTTGAAAGACTGAACATCTTTCTAGAAAAAGAGGGGCAGACAGTCTCAAGTATGTTCCGAGCCCTGGGGCACGATGGGGTATCTCCAGCTACAGTACCCTGTATATCTCCAGAGTTACTGGCCCATCTGTTGGGACAGGCAATGGCACATGCCCCTCAGCCCCTGCTACCCATGAGATATCGGAAACTGAGAGTGTTCTCAGGGAGTGCCAAGCCTGGCCCAGAGGAAGAGCCATTTGAGGTCTGGTTGGAACAAGCCACTGAGATAGTCAAAGAGTGGCCCGTCTCAGAGGCAGAAAAGAAGAGGTGGCTGGTGGAGAGCCTGCGAGGCCCCGCCCTGGACCTCATGCACATAGTGCAGGCAGACAACCCAGCCGTCAGTGTGGAGGAGTGTCTGGAGGCCTTTAAACAGGTGTTTGGGAGCCTGGAGAGCCGCAGGACCTCCCAGGTGAGATACCTGAAGACCTTTCAGGAGGAAGGGGAGAAAGTCTCAGCCTATCTGCTAAGACTAGAAACCCTGCTCCGGAGAGCTGTGGAGAAACGGGCCATCCCCAAGAATATCGTGGACCAGGTCCGCCTGGAGCAGGTCATGGCTGGGGCCAACCTTGGTGAGGTTCTCTGGTGTCGGCTTAGGGAGCTAAAGGATCAGGGCCCGCTTCCCAACTTCCTGGAGTTGATGAAGGTAGTACGGGAAGAAGAGGAGGAAGAGGCCTCCTTTGGAAATGAGAATATCCCTGGGCGCGCTGGTGCACGCCTGTAATTCCAGCAAACTGGCAGGCTGAGGCAGGAGGATCCCAACTTCAAGGTCGGCCTCAGCAGCTTAGTGAGGCCCTCAGCAATTTAGTAAGACCCTGTCTCAAAATTTAAAAAACAAAAAGGGCTGGGGATGTAGCTCAGTGGCAAAGTGCCCCTGGATATTCAATCCCCAGTATCCTACACCTCCCCCCACCCCACCCCCCAAAAAAAAGAAAGAAAGAAGGAAAAGAAAATGAGATTATTGAAGGGCCAGAGGGAGGCTGTGGCCACCTGGATAATGAGGGCGATGACTACAAACCAACTGCTAAGACCACTGCCAACCAGTGGACCTGGGACGTTTGTATATTTAAACTAAGACCCTTATGATATTTTCTTTAATGTATAGAATTGAAGTCAAGGCATGATAGCCAAGTCTTTATTTTTTCTTTCTAGAAAAAAAAAATGTTTGGAGTTTCTTACCCCCTAAGTAGATTGTTAATTAATAAAAGATTAACTTCCAAATAATAGATAGTAAGTCTAAAGACATCCAAAACACCCAGACTTCTGGTTTCCTTTAAATACCCCCAATAGACCAAAGTTTACCTGTACCATAGAAGAAAGAATTGATGCTAGAAAAGAAAATAGCTTTTGTAATAAGTTAGAAAGTCACAAAGTGACTTGGCTTGTCCAGAATCTCCTTGTCTCAACTCAGCCAGTTCTTGCTGCATCCCTAGCATTGCTAGACACCGTACAGGAACTATAAACCTCCAGCTACTGCCTACAGTTGAGCAGGTACAAACCTGCAAGATGGGCTATGCCTTCTGGAAGTTTCCAATGAGATAGGTCGTTGGTACAGACAAGTGGAAGCAAAGTAACCATATTTGTAGATAAATTCACAGTCCCAGCAGAAAGGTCGTGGGTCATGGTTAAATGAATGGGACCATCTCCACCCATAGGTTTCTTTTTTCTCTTTCCTGAGAAGTGTTCCTCCTGCCTCTGTGCTGGGTGCCATGTCAGACCCTGAAGAACAGGTGACTCCAAGGCCTGGGCCCAGTCTGGTTGGAGAAGGGGGTTTAGTGGCCATAGAGAACAAAAAGGAGAGTGAAGGACCTCCCCTTTATTGAGGGCTTGCACTGTGCCAGGCATTTCACACACATCTAAGTGTGCAGCAACCCCACTCTTTATAGGGGCTTTTAATTTTATTTTATATAAAAATTAGCTGAAGGTCATATGGGTTACGTAGTCTCCTCGACAACAAAATGCCAAGAAGCAGCTCAGGATCTCCTGACTTGAGCCTGTCCACTTTCCACCATCTTGGTGGATTTCAAATTGTATCCTCAAAATTCTGCAGAGAGTTTTCAGCAGTCCCATCTTCAAATTATACCTTGAACTCTGTAAATATCTAGTAAATAACAGGTAGACTCAAATGTGTCAAAAGCCAAAAGTCAACATGCCAGCAGTTACCCTTAGGTTTGCTTGTTTTCAGTGGCTCCTTTTGGGCAGAACTTGGAATGAAGCTTCCCTGCTGCTATCTGTGCATATATCCAACTTCCTTTAATTGTTCATAGACTTAATGAGCGTGTGCATCTGGCCCACACACGCCGTGTCAAGTGTGCTAGGACAGCTTAGACGAGCACCATTTTAGTTACATGCTAGGTGAAGCTCTAACACAGTTGATGCACAGCCTCATGGCAGATTTGTGCAACTGTAACCAAGTTGCTTAGCTTCTGTGAATGTAAGTTTCCTCATCTGCAAATGGGAAGATTATAATACAGGGTGGTTATTAGGAGCAAGTGACATAACACCCTTTTAGCACTTCTCTTGATGTCTGGAACTTGGAAAACCCTTGATACACTAAGGCTCTTGGGATTTTTGTGATGCTTATTGTCATCAGCTCAGTGCATGCTTTCCTTATTCTTCTAGTTGTCCAGGAACAAGTAAAAAGATAGAATCTTCCAGTCCAGTTGTGATACCTTTGCATTTAGAGACCATTTCAGCAATTCTTGAAAATGCTTGTCTTTTATACTTGTGATAATATTCCAGCAGTTGTTGACAATTGTTAATGACTTGACTTTGAAACATTAAGTTATTCTTTTGGATTGTGAGTTAGCTTAACCGAAGAATATCCTGAGATTGTAACAACATTTTTTTTTAAAAAAAAGTACCATTCATTTGTGATCATTTATCTTTCTAAAGTATTTTTGTCAATACTGTTCAACCAGTGATGTGAGAGTAATCCATTACATCCTGATTTAATGTGATTTTGTATTCATGAAAATGGCCTCATTATCATTGATTGACAATCTACAAAGTAAAATGTTACCAATGTGAAATTACAGAATAAATCTATGCTAATAAAAGCCTGAGTTTTTGTTGTTGTTGTTGTTTTCTGATTCCTATATTGAAGTCTATATGAGTGAGAAGGTCTGTTTGAGTCAGAAGAAACTTTATTATTTAAAAAAAAAAAACTGAGAGAAGTGTTTAGAAAATCAAGCAAAAGGCAAAAGATCTTAAACTCCTCTAAGGCAAGAACAGAGTGCTGGAGTGAGAATACTTGGACTATGTCTCCAGGGATGGGAGAGAGCTCAGCTCACCCATCATTGATTTCCACTTAACATACACAGGAGCAGATGGAGGCCACCCCCTCTGAGACCATCATCTCATCTGCTTAGGACAGTAACTGTCCAGATAAATTCCCCTGTCTCTATTCTGCCAAGGGTAAAATGACCCAAAGGTGGAACCTTGCATTATAGGCTGAAGTCAGCTTTTCCTATGGATGTGTAGAGGAGAATTTCCTCTTGCCTTTGGACATATTGAAATTGCTTCTTCTCTTATCTGAAGCACAACAGGGGAACATTCCTCATTGGGCAGACCAGTCCAATGGACACATTGAGTGTCCTGAAGGATGCCCAACCCCATCTTCTCACCACTTGAGAAAAACCTTGAAGGTAGACTCACCTTGTACTTCACGCGTCTCCAGTCCTGACCCTCAGAGACCGAGCTCTCTAAGGTCTGGATACCACGAGAGAAGATCAGTTTCTAGTAGGGGTCTCTGGTGTAAATTATGGACAGGCCATCAGCCTCCTGCCTCCTCAGGCCCTGGGTGTCACCTGCCTTCTGCTGCCCATCCTAAATGCAGACTCTCAGCAGGTCTCTCCTTGACTCTCATTCCAACGGATGCTGTGCCTCCACATGTCCCTGGACATTCCACAATGTCCTAGACAAACCAGTTGAGATGACCAGTGTTTACCGCATACCTGCCACCATTTCCTTAACCAATCGAGTGTTCTGCCCAGTGCTCTGCAGCCCTGACAAGGGCCAGCTGCTTATCATCATCCATTTCCTCTTCCTAATACCTTTGCACCTTCCTGGCACATGCACACAGCTCGGCCACCACCCGCTGTGAATTGGGCCTGATAAGCCTGGACAATTAGAATGACCAAGAGCAATGACAAAGCAAGCCCATGCAGAGAAGGATCCCCCCAGAAAGGAATCTGTCTGGGTGCCATCTAAAGGGGCGGGGGAAGAGCAGAAATAAAAAGGTAAACTGTGACTAAGAGAGTGCTAAGGACTGGAAAGCAAAGAAGGGCAGGAGCTTGAGGCTGGAAGGAGTAGAATCTGAAATAAAACAGGAGAGAAGAGGAGCCAAGCGAGTCCTGGCAAAGGGGCACCAGGTTTGTTTTATGTTCCAGCAGCAAAATCCTTGGACGGTCCAAGGAACCAGAATTGGGGCAGACATCTCTCCCATCCCCCGTCAGAGGGCCAAGGAACCTTTGAGTTTGTTCAGGAAAAACTTAACTCATTGAGACGCTTTCTTGGAGTAGAAGATGGAGCCCACTGGACCAGGGCAGGACGTTGTCCTGGTCTAATCCTGAATGACACCAGTCCCCTCTGTGTCCAACTGTTCCTTGACATCCCAGATGGACATTTGCTTTAAAATTAGTGTAACGCCAGAAGAGTTTGCAAAAATCAATTTTCTCAAGGGACAAAGGTGTAGGATTTCAGTCTAACTTTCAGGACACCAGCTGGAGCTGCCCATTGTAGCTGTTTTAAGCAGCAGCTGAGGTTTCTTCGCAGTCTCTCTCCCCTCCCACTTAGAAGGAAAAGTCACTCAAGGGGAGGTGTCACAGCCATGTGGAGGACTGTGCAGTGGTGCTGAGGCTGGGAGCCACAGCACGCGGTCCCAGGGAAGTGGGGAAGATGGCAGTCCCCATCCCAACCTGCTCAGACCTGCCCCTGCCCAGCATGGCCTGAGACAGACCCATGAAGGTCCTTCCTGACTTTGATGAGTCTTTACCCAACAAACTGAATTACTAAAATGAAGGGTTTCTTGAATAAAAATTTGTCACAAAAGCCAACTTTATATTGTTAGTGAGAATAAGCAAAAAAAAGAAAGAAACCAGGTTGATGGAAAGGTAGGCTGAGTCCTGTTCATGATGGCAAGCCAACATGTTGCACTGCCTGAGAACATCTCCTACCAAGGTGAAGCCTCTGACCACACTTGTTGAGCTTGGGGACTCTGCTCACTATTCCAAGTAGTCATCAGTGCATGCTTTAAATGTCCTAACTAGAAAGCTTCTACGTGAAACCCAAAGCAACTGTAAATGCCCGTGGCCAGTGGTGCTACTAACCTGGGAAAGACATTCTCAATTCAATATGGCCAGGGCCCCTTCCCAACTATAGATGCTTATGGGTCTAAAGCTAAGGGAGTGTTTTAGTCAAGCTCTGTGTCCCTGTGACCAAAAGACCTGACAAGAACAACTTAAGAGAAAGGAAAGTTATTTAGACTCACAGATTCAAACTTCAGTCTGTGGTCCCCAACTCAATAGCTTTAGGCCCGAGGTGAGGCAGAACATCCTGGTAGAAGAGTGTGGCCGAGAGAGCACTCCACTCACCAGGAACAAAGTAAAGACCCAATGCCATATCCCCAGTGACCCACTTCCTCCAGTCCTACCTTATCTGCCTAGAGTTATCATCCAGTTAATCCATATCAGTGGATTAATCCACTGATTAACTGAAAGCTTTCAT